GGAACACAAAAGATGACGTTAGGAATGACACAGCAGTCCCCATTCTCATTTCACCATTCACTGCATGGAAAAAAAAGACACTAAAGGTGGAAAAAAGGTGAACTATACATTTAAGAACAGTGGAAACTTTTTGTGTACACTTTATTTCACTGTAGGTGTATTTACAGAAGTAATTACTGGTAGTATAAGGTAACTACATGGGTTAAGGTTAGGTTCAGGGGTAGGTTAAGGGTTAGTACCTAGTTATTACCCAGTTATTGTAATTGCTATAATAAGTACATAGTATGTACATGCGGAACAAGAGTGTAAAATAAAGTGCTACCAACTTTTTTTTTTAAAGATTTAAAGGAAAATAAAAGAATAAATGGCAAAAGATTATACTAGAAGTAGATGCAAATAGATAGGTTGCTCCTGATGTCACACATAACAGAAACACTTCTGTTCTCTTCTATGTAGATCGTTTATTTTTAAAATGTTTTTTTTTCAGCCATACTTTGTTACAAAAATAATAGAAATTACATTTGAAATCCAGTGCAAGTTTTCTAATATTCAGTTTTTTTGTAATTCTTGAATAATTAAATGATCCAAAATATACATTTGCAATCTAGTAGGTGGTTTAATTCCAGATATTAACATGCATAGCAACATGTGAGAGAATGTGAGCTGATTATTTAGAGGAGATATCCGTAATCACACAGCAATTAAGCTAAGCTCAGCTTATCTGGATTTATGACAAACAGGTACAAAAAAAGGTGTTGGCGAAACACACAAGTACATAAATGACAGTATTTGTTAGTCTGAAATGCGAATTATGACCTAAATGCAGTATGTGGCAATCAGAACTTTTACAATGTCATTGTAAAGTGTAACAGAGAGCAGGTGAATCTGTGTTGCAACTATAGCAATCCAGCAATTTTAATTTAAATTTTCTAAATAAATCTTGAAGTTGTCAATGACCAATCAATGACCATCATTGTTTTAGGCATTTAATAATCTCAGAAAGCAAGAAAAACAACACATAATAACTGATCATCATTTTTTCAACACCATGACATTCATTTGAATTTCTCTCTCTCTCTCTGTCAACTATCTATCTATCTATCTATCTATCTCCCTCTCTTTCTCTCTCTCTCTCTCTCTCTCTCTATATATAGTAGATTTCAATAATATGCTGTGTAAAATATTATGTAAGATATAATGTTTAAATGAGTGTTTTTTTATATATATATTGATATAGGTGATGTAATTTATTATAATGATATAATCTTTAATGTTATTATAATTACCTGGATAAACACATCCTCATTAGAGTGACTAATTATTAGCAAGATTAATAAAATGAAAAAAAAAAAACTTGCATTTAAGATGTTAAGAAGTAAATTTAGTGTAAATTTATGTTTAACAGATCCGCATTATGAAAACAGGGCGAGGAGCAAAAATAATAATAAAAACGGATTAGTGCGACATTAAAGTGATTAGATGAATGGCGAGCAGAGACTGGAGAAGTGAATATATAAAGGGTTTGTGAGAGCAAAGAGAACCAAATCCACCATCTCCATCCATTCTGCAAGAGAAGAGGCGGTTTGTGAAAATGTGGAGGTTAACGTGTGTCAGTTTGGCCCTGCTCTTATGTGTTCAAGGTAAGGACTTTTACTTGCTTAAGGTAGAAACTTCATCAGCACTACATGTTTCTGCCACGGCTCTGGTTCATGTGGGATAATTTCATTAAGTTAATTAGTTAGAGGATGTCACACATGGCTGGATGTCCATGAAATCCTTCCTGTTTAATGTGTGCTGTTATGTCTCTTCCACTGCAGGTTCACTTTCTCAGCTGAATGGTAAGAGCTTGTCTCATTCTTTAATTTTCAAAAAGTTTTTAATGTAATTGTTTTGAACAGAAATGCGCATGTGAACAATTTCTCTCTCTCTTTCTCATAGTTTGTGGACAAGCCCCTCTAAACACACGTATTGTGGGTGGTGTGGATGCCTCTGAGGGTTCGTGGCCGTGGCAGGTCAGTCTGCACAGCTCCAACTTTGGAGGTCATTTTTGTGGAGGCTCCCTCATCAACAGTGAATGGGTGCTGACGGCAGCTCACTGTTTACCCGAGTAAGATTCACCTAAACACACATACGCACTTTTTGTTTTGATTGGTAGAATGTACCTTTTTCTTTTCTCACTTTCTCTGACTGTATTTAGTGTCAGCGCATCCAGTCTGCGTGTGTATTTGGGAAGGAGGACACAGCAGGGAGTCAATGCCAATGAGATCAGCAGAAATGTCACTACGATCATCGTCCACACCTCCTACGACAGGAACACAAATAACAATGACATCGCTCTGCTCCGGCTGTCCTCCGCAGTCACCTTCAATAACTACATTAGACCCGTGTGTCTGGCGGCCCAGAACAGCGTCTTCCCTTCTGGCACCAGCAGCTGGATCACAGGCTGGGGAGATGTTCAATCTGGAGGTACAAACACATGCAAACCCATTAATTCACATATGAATTTACTCCTAACATCACTAATTAATGGTTGTGTTTTTGGTGTTCAGTGAGCCTACCTGATCCCGGGATTCTGCAGGAGACTATGGTTCCAGTGGTGGACAATGATCAGTGTAATACTCTTCTGGGTTCTGGATCTGTTACCAGCAACATGATGTGTGCTGGTTTAATGGAGGGAGGCAAAGACACCTGCCAGGTACAACAACCAACCAGATTAAGCATGCATATCAAAACATGCTGCATATCTGAAAGTCCACTGGGTTCTTCTAATACTGTATATATTTACACACAAACATCTATGCTGCATTTTTATATATGTATGTGATTCTCCATTTACATTCTAGCCATGTTTGATGTCCCAAAAAACAAAAACTTCTACTCTTTTTCTTTCTGTAGGGGGATTCTGGTGGTCCAATGGTGAGCAAGCAATGTTCAGTGTGGGTTCAGTCTGGTATCACCAGCTGGGGTTATGGCTGTGCTGATCCCAATGCACCTGGTGTTTACACACGTGTGTCACAGTATCAGAGCTGGATCACCAACAACATTGGGCAGAACCTGCCAGGTTTTGTCACCTTCAGCCCTACAAGCACATGCCAGTCTGTTTCACCCACTTCTACAACCTCCCCAACTACTACTAAAACTACTACCACCCCAAAAACTTCTACTACCTTAAGAACAGCAACAACGACTCTTTCACCCAATCAGGGTAACTCTTTCTCATACTTTACTGTACACACCTGTACAAACATCCTGAAACGGCTAGTCCACCCAAAAATGAAAACTCTGTCATCACTTACTCCCCCTTCATGTCATTCCAAACCTGAAGGCGTTTATTTTTTCTCTAAGAAAAGATGTTTAGAAGAATGCTGTTATCTAAATATTTTCTGTTACCATTGACTTCCATTGTATTTTTTTGTCCATACACTGAAAGTCAGTGGCAACTGATCTTTCAGAATATAAAAAAAATATCAAAAACACTACTTACTTCTCTGCATAATTCTTAATTGCTTAATGCTTAATGCAAAACGACTTTTTGTTGTAGCCTCAAACTCTTGTCAAAGGAGATGTGGTGAGAGATCTGACTTCCGCAACCGCTGCAACTGTAATCATCGCTGCCTCATAAACTGCTGCTGGGATTATAAAAAGCTATGCAGTAAGTCCAGATACACACACAAACAAGTGTTCATTGTTCTGTTCTCAAATTCTGATTTTTTTTTTTTTAGTCTAGAAGTCTTCAGCTCTGTTTGTTTTTTGTCTCTGCAGGGTTTTAGTAGATAACTCCTGGTTGGCAGTCTTCTAAATGGCTCACCTTCACTTTATCTTTTTAATTTAAGCATTCTGTGCAACAATTTCATGCATCAAGTACAGGTTATACTACAAAATATTTCTTTAAATCAGCAAAGAACCCATTTTAAATTAATTTCTTCAAAATATATGTGTAATGAAAGTCTTTATTTTTTTCCTTTTCAGACTAATGATTTATTTATTGTGTTTGTGTGTCAAAATTGTACCTAAATAATTCACAATTCATTTTATGTAACATACAAATTCATACAAGCGGATTATATAATAGCAGCATAACTTGCTAATATAATTTGGGTCTTGTTTGTAATCTGTATTATATAAATAAATAAATAAATACTTTGCATCATCTGGCTTGCAACTTCTTTTCTGTTATAAATCACACCAACGGGGGTGAATGAAAAGTGTTTGTAGTGTCATGGCACAAACCACATGCCTTTGTATCACTACGACAAGGATGTACAAAAAGTTAGTCTAAACCATCTAAGCCATCTAAAAAGTAGATATAATTTTAAAAATAATATGATCAGACTTATGTATTTGTATGTGTAGAATTGATATGTAGAATTGCAAGTTGCAGTACCATCCGAGAGAGCCACATTGAGCTTCCACCCAGAGAAAACCAACCCATATTTTCCCTCACCAATTATGAGGAGGTCATCCTGGCCTCTCAAAGATGTATCCACTGTGTAAAAAAAAAAAAATGGATCTGGGGTAGAGCTACCGAGTCGGAGACATGCAAAGAGAACGATTCTTAGCACAGCACTAGCAACACTAAGGTCATGGAAATGCGTGAACTGTTAAAATGCATACTTTCAATGTAATGCGAGTCGCTTTGGATTTTTTGGTAATGACCTCAAGGGAGCCAACAAAGGCCCATTTCCAACACACAGTACAAGGGGCCCAGAAAATGACAGAATTTGCCTACCTACCTCTCACTTGTATATTTTTTTTATTACAGAAGACATGCATAAACCATAAATAAAGTAATTTCCAGTCAAATAAAAAACTGTCATGATAACATTACTAAGATAAACAGAAAAGTAAGTTAAATAAGCCTGTATAAAATATTTATGCCATTATCTCTAGGATTTTTTTTTTTTTCCCCAAGTTTGGTTGTTGCCTTGTGTTTCCAGAAATTATTACTGTCAGGTTTCACATCCTCACAAAGTGCAACTTCTAAAACATGTTCTCATGTACTTGTGATGCCTGCCTGCCCCCGTGACAAATCCCTGACGCCTTCATCCGGGACTCTACCGTCAGAGCACTCTCCAACATGGCGGCGTCAGGTGAGAATAATGCGCTCTCGTGCTCGGCCTTCATTTGTGAGCTTCTTTGCGAAACACCTCTAAACAAGTTTGTAAAACACTCTTGGTTTCAAACGTAATGGTTATAGCATTCACTGTGTGCGTTTTTCAAAAACGGCACTGCTAAATATACTGAGAAAATATTCTGAAAGCATGAAGGAATAGTTGTATTGGGGAAGCCTTATGCGCAAATGAATTAGCCAGTTTGCTAGCGGCCGAATCATGTGCCTCGCCTGTCTTGTTATCTTCTGGAGTTTTAGAACGGAAAGATTTCGCACACGGATGTTCGGGTGTTTTAATATACGCGGAAGTTTATAAGGTTAATTCACGGTAAGTTGTGATATTATGGTAAGTTATAGCGCCTGAAGCTCAGAACGGTGCTAATAACCCGTGCTTGGCGCGCATGCGCAGTACGATCCAGAGGAGGGACCGGAGAGGTGACCACGTGCGTGGAGCCGTGGACATAGAGCTGAAATAGACTTTCTCTCGTCGTTTTTGACAGAACAGCGGTTGGGTTGGTGATTTAGATTTATTTCAGTGACTTGTTTTTTTTTTTTATGTGATCACCAAAAAGATTTGTTCACGGATTCATTCAGTACAGTTACGTAGTTTTTTTTTTTGTGTCGAGTCATTGAATCAATTTCTAATTCATTCGATTAAAATCGAGTCATTCATGACCAAAACATCTCCTCGTATTATCTTTTACTAAAACGTATGTTCTTTAAAGACACTTCAGAAAGAGAGTTTAATTGTCCCCAAAAAATAATACCTCAGTAAGTTAACGAGTGTTTCAAAGGCTTGTATAACCAGCCAGATGTACAGAACTTATGTAAGTAACGTTACAGCTCTTATCTTTTTGAGTGGGGAAAGACTGAATTATCTGAAACTGTTTGTTAATGTTACATCTGAATGACGTTTAAAAACAGTAGTACCATTTAAATTGTGCTTCTGAGCTTGTTCAGGCTGGTCAAGTTAAAGCATATAACATTACAAGTTCTAGAGGAAAACAAACATAATGTGAATGTGCCTTATGTCACCCTTTTTTCCACATTGCATAGTGTTGGAAAGGCATCTTTTGCACAAGGTGTGACCTTGCTCACTGGTGTGAAAGCTATTAGTGTATATTCTGGGTTTCATGCAATTTAATGAAGGGTGTGAAGAGGTTTTACTTGGAAATCCTCTACAAGTGTAGTGACATTTCACTTCTAAAGCAAGCAGATATTAGTGAATAAACAAATAATGTGATATAAAGTCTTTTGAATAAACCTATCTTTTTTTTCTTTTTTTTTTTTTTTTGCATAGTCATGCTTTCTGTTATCTGTGCCACTATGTGTCCCAGCTAGGGTGGGAACGTTAAAATGTTCTTCTTATTCTGAATGTTAATGGTGGCATGAAATGAAAATTCACCCTCTGTTTTCCAAATGCATGTTATTAATCTTACTTTAAATATTTCATCTGTGCATATGTTTCTTTGTTTTGACCTCATAATTCTTAATCAAAATGTCATCAATCTGACCTGTTCTTTTGGTGTAATGACAGATTTCTCTCTGGTGATGACTTTTCCAGTCATTTTGTTCATTTAAAGGATACATTTTGCCATAATGTACTCACCCTCAAGTTGTTATAAACCTTTATGAGTTTCTTTGTTCTGTTGAACACCAAAGAAAATGTTTTGATGAATGTTGGTAATCAAGCACTTGATGGTAGCCATTGACTTCGAAATACTTCAGTTATGGCATTCTCATAGCATGTGTTTTTTGTTCTTTAGCTAAGAAGAAGAATAAGAAGGGGAAGACCCTGACCCTGAATGACTTCCTTGCGAATGATGGCAGTGGCAGCGTACCCCCCAGTTACCCCAGCACAAAGGCCACCAGCTGGGCAGACGAGACCGATGACTTGGATGGTGATGGTGAGTGAAGGCTGGAACGCATTATGGATGTCTTAATTTATTTTCAAACGTTAAATCATCAGACTTTTATTTTGATGGAAAAATCTCCTGAAACTTCTCCTTTTTGACAAGTGCTTCTCATTACAAGTAAGGGAAGATTGTTGGTGCATGTTGCATTCCCAAATGCATATTAAAGTGCCTCAAATTCAGATGCAGAGATGGAGTTTGTGTGGAGCAGCACTTACTGCAATTAATTATGCAGTCCTAATGTGAAGCTAAAAAATTTAGTTTGTACCAGTCATAGACTACGCAATTTTCTGTGAAATCTTGTAAACTCCAACTGGCTCAAATCAGCAGGCTCTGACTTTTGACAACTAGTGCTGACTCCTCCAGACTGTAAAGCGGGGCAAATATTGTCAAAATTCAAGTCTTAAGAAGACAAAATGCTACCGTTGGTCTGATGCATTTTAGGATCCAGGCATTGAAATCATATTCTGTGGTGGTCAAGTTCTATTCTCCTTCTCTTTAGTCTCAACTTCCTGGCATACTGTGGAGGATACGTATCGAGCTCCTCCCATCGATCGCTCCATCCTGCCAACTGCGCCTCGTGCAGCACGGGAACCAAACATTGACCGCTCTCGGCTGCCACGCAGTCCACCCTACACCGCCTTCCTTGGTAACCTTCCTTACGACGTCAGCGAGGAATCCATCAAAGACTTCTTCAGGGGCCTTGCGGTCAGTGGGGATCTGCATGTTTAGAAACAGGATGTCTAGATAATACACTTACATTCTGAGTCTTTCGTAGCAGGAAATACTATTAGCTGCTTGACAAATGCAGGTTGTGTATAACTGGATGTGTTTTGTGTATATTCTCAGATCAGTGCAGTACGTTTGCCACGGGAGCCTAATAACCCAGAGAGGCTTAAGGGTTTTGGTTATGCAGAATTTGATGATGTTGAATCATTCTTTCGTGCTCTCAGTCTAAATGAAGAGGTGGGTAGTCCGTAAAATACTGACCTCAGATCATTGCCTTTGTTTTCTATTTTGAGTTAACATTGCATTAAATTTGTGTAGAATCTTGGGAACAGGCGGATCCGGGTGGATATTGCAGATCAATCCAATGACAAAGGTGAACTGATGATATACATGATTTCTTTGCCTCTTGACTAAATTTATAATTTTATATATTTAATTTAATTATTATAATTAATATTTTCTTATATTTCTTCCAGAGAGGGATAGTGGGTCAATGATGGGGCGAGACAGGGATAGAGGTCGTGGGATGGACAGTGGCCCTGATAAGACAGATTCTGATTGGAGGGCACGGCCAAGCGGGGACCTGGATGATGGACCACGCAGAGACGACGGATACGGGGACAGTAAGTTAAACAGATGCAAACTCTGTATCATGCTTAAACCAGTGTTAATTTTGACAGCAAATTTGGATTTAAAGAGGGGGGTCTAATGCTATTTCATGCATGTTGAGTTATTTACAGTGTTAAAGAGTTGGATTCTCATGCTAAACATGGCCAAAGGTTCAAATATATATGAATGTAGAACGGAGTATTTCTGTGTCAAATATACTCCTTCCGGTTTTGTACACGTTTCTGAGAGTTTTTTTTCCGAGCTTGGCTCTTCGTGATGTAATGAAGGGTGGAACTCCTTGTATGGGCATTTCTCCCGGAAGAGCACGTCCGCGCACACACATTGATCAGAGTGAGAGCAAGAGCGCGCCCATCAACGCGCTTCATTCAGCTGCACTGAACGGGACTCGCTCGAGAAGAATGTCTCCAAAGAAGTGTGTTTTTGGCTGTAAGGGAAAGATAACCTTGTTCAGCTTACCAAAGAACCCAGCGTTACGTGAACAGTGGATGCAGTTTGTTTTTCCGGGGCAGCACCAAAGTTTTGCAAGTGTGTTTGTTGACGAACGTTTTATAAACAATGCCCAGTTTGTAGGGTTGGGTACTGAAACTCGGTGGCTATATGGCACCGGTACCTATGTAACCGGTATGTGCTAGAACCGAATCAGAACGCAGATTTCGGTGCCTAATTTCTGTGCCACTTACATGCCTGAGCGATCGATTTAAATATTTGTCCTGATTTTCCAAAATGGACGTAAGAAGCATTGGCGTCGCTAGTTCATTTTTAGCGAGGCTATAGCGATTAGCTCCATAAACTACACAAATTCGTGATCGCCTCAGAGTCAGTCCACTTTAAATTTCATATGAAATCGGCGGCAGACTTCGTCTCCTCCCCGTCTTTCAGCGCGCTCTTCAATCCGCAGACCGTGGTGGCGCAGCGCGAGCGGACTCGGAAACAGAGGACACAAGGTGTGTGTTTATCGATAGATTGTTATAATATCTGTATCTGTGCAGTTCTTTGTCATAAATACAGTTTGTAAAAGGTCACGAGGGAGCAATCGATTTCCCGTCTACTGTATTGCTGCGTTCACCGCTCATCACACCCCAGCTGTTTCCTCCAGCGAAAATCTAGCCCTTAACACATATGAACGCATACCATATAAAACAATCATGTTGCTATTTTCATTTGAAAATTTTATATTTAATATAAAACATATTACAGTGCATGTGGCATACCATACCCTCATTCACAGAACTGATTAAAGACAGTAACAGAGAGCACTGTCAATTCACTCATTTTAACTAAATATCAGAGTGATTGACAGAGATACAGTAGAAACATTGTGTGATTTTGCATTAAATATTGTTTTGTATTAAATAATGACCCAGATCGTGAAATACATTTATTAGCCTTAGAGTAAGGGAAGCACAA